TGCTGAAAGTACCGTGGACTGCTAAAAGAACTAACAGATCTGTCCTGGAGGAAGTGCAGCCGAAATGCTCCTTACAAGTGAGAATGGTCAGACTTCGTATAACCTACTTCAGCCATGTTGTCAGAAGGGACCATTCCCTGGAGAAGGATGTCATGCTTGGTAAGGTGGAGGGTCAACAAAGAGGGGAAGGCCTTCAATGAGATGGATTGACATGGTAGCTGCAGCAATGGGCTAAAGTATAGCAAGGATCATGGAGCTGGCACAGGATCAGGCAATGTTTCATTCTGCTGTGCATGGGGTTGCTATGAGTCAGAAATGATTCAACAGCACCTAACAACAACAACAACAAGTGTATACATAGGAATGAATTATTTTGGTTTTAGAGTATACATATGTTTAGTTTTAGCAGATATTCCCAAACAGTTTTCCAAAGTGTTGATACCAATTTATGCTCATTGCAATATATGAGAGTTCTGACTGCTCTGCAACATCACTAACATATGATATTGTTTGTTTCCAAAATATTAGTAATTCTGATGGGTGAGGAGTGGGGTTTACTTTTTATTCTCCTGATGAATAATTAAGTACATTTTCATGCTTTTGTTGGCCATTTGCTTATCATTTCTTTGTAAGATGCCTGTTCAAGCCCTTTACTCTTTTTGTCTTGGGTAGTGTCTTTTTACATTGACTTGTAGCAGTTCTTTATGTATTGTAGCTATGAGAACTTTATCACATTGTAAATATTTTCTTCCACTCTGTGACTTGTATTTTCACTCTCCCAAGGATAGTTTTATGCTGCTCATCTATCATTTTGCTTTACTGTTTGTGGCTTGCTTGTTGTTGACAGCCTGGAAGTTGTGACACTGGTATTTCAAATACCAATAGGATCACCCATGGTGGACAGGTTTTAGCAGAGCTTCCAGACTAAGACTTACTAAGAAGAAGATGAGGCTATCAACTTCTGAAAAAAAAAAAAAAGCCACTGAAAACTTTATGGATAGCAGTGAAACATTGTTGGATATATTACCGGAAAGCTTTATGATTAGCAGTGAAACATTGTCTAATATAGTGCCAGAAGATGAGACCGTCAGGTTGGAAGGCACTCAAAATATGATGGGGGAAGAGGTTCCTTCTCAAAGTTAGCTTGACTTTAATGATGTGGATGGAGTAAAGCTTTCAGGATCTTCATTTGTTGATGGGGCATGACTCAAAATGGAAATAGCTACAAATATTCATTAATTATTGGAACATGGAATGTATGAAGTATAAATATAGCAAAATTGAAAATTGTGAAAAATGGAATGGAATGCATACAGATCAATATCCTAGGCATTAGTGAGCTGAAATGGATTGGTATTGGCCATTTCAATTTAATGAAAAATTGAAGAGGAAATGGTGTCACCT